GCCATTAAAGCTGCTGGGTGTGGTGGCCCACACCAGTAATCTCAACATTCTGGGAGGCTGAGGAAGGAGTATCACCAAATTCGAACCTATTGTAGGCAACTTAGAGACTTAGTGAGACCCTATCTCAAAATATAAACATTTTTAAAGGGCTTGGGAGCATATTTCAGTGCGGAGGCCCTGGGTTCAATCCCCAATATTGCAAAGAAAAAAACCCAACAAAACAACCATTTAAATATAATAAACAGAGGACACAATGAATCAGTATCCAGATCAAGAGTCACAGCCTTACCATCATCCGCAGAAGCTCCCTCTTCCTATTGCCTTTCAGACTCTTAACAGTGTAGTAGTTCTGCCTGTCTTTATATTAAAATAATCACGCAGTAAGACGTTTTTAGTAATTAAAAAAATCTGGCTCTTTCTCCTCAACATTATTTTCATGAAATTCCTTCATATTGTTGAATTTAGATTCTTTTTCCTTGCTGTGTGATAGTACCAAAGTAAGTTTTTCTATTGATGCACATTTGTGTGTTTTCTAGTTAGGAGCTGTTATGAACAGTGCTTCTTTTGGTGAAAAGAAGCTTCTCGGTGTGCATGTGCATTTATTTATGTTGGATGTATTCAAGAAGGGGAATTGCTGGGTCTGAGTTTTCAACAGTTTTCCAAAGTGATTGTACCAATTCTTACTGCTTCCAGCAATGGGTGAACATTTCTGCTATTCGATATACTTCACAACATTTGTTAGCTCCCATCCTTTCCTTTTTGGCCTTTCTATTGTGTGTGGTAAACAGTATTACTTTTATAACCAAAAGGAAAAATTCTATACAAAAGTAGTTATATAGATGTGAAAAGGAAGGTATAAGAGGAACTAGCATTGTGGCTAGAATTGCAAAATCTATTACTTTTTTGGACATCATACCAGGCTAATTAGGGTCAAGGTGAAGTTCAGCCCAGAGAGAGAGACAAAACAAGTAAGTACAACACACTGTTGAAAGTGCTGTAGTAGTAAAAGAACACTGATGAAAAGTGATGAATTGTACTTGGGATGCCATGGAAAAGCTTCATTTTGCTTCATTTCAATATGGAGCTCAGACCTCAGCATCTTCAAAAGGGCTTTCAGAAACTACTTGAAGGTTGAGATACCTTCCTGTTTTCCAAAGCATGTTCCTCTTATTACTTTGGTCACAGCATTGACAAATCTGTCCTGTAATTGTCCATCTGTCTATCTGTTTAGTTAGTATTATTTTAGTACTTGAGATAGAACCCATGGGTACTCAAACACTGAGCTACATCTGCAGTCCTTTTTTAAACTTTAATCTTAAAACAGGATCTCCCAAGTTTCCCAGGCTGGCCTCAAATATGTGACTCTCCTGCCTCAGTCTCCTGAGTAGTGGGATTAGAGACATATGACACCATGCCCAGCACGTCTTTCTCTCTTGCTAGTCCACAAACTTTGGGGTTGGGTGACCTTTCATCTGATGATGCCTGGCCTAGCATTAGAGCTGGATGGCTATTGAGTGAGTTAAGAGAAGAGAAAGTCTTATGATCACCCTTACTCCTACCTTCATTCCTAATTCAAGACTTAGCCAGTTTTTGTTTAAATTTCACTCTGTAGAATGGAGAATTGATGTATTTAAACACAGTGAGTTATAGCAATTAAAAGTAAACTAACAAATAAATGTTAACCAAGAATCACTTTTCAGCTATTAAGTGAACCAATATGTTTGTAAAAGACCCAATGATGCTTGAAGCCTTGAGCTCTGTTGATTTAATAATGATTTAAAGAACACCCCTGAAACAAGAAATTGACAATATGTAAAAATAGCCCTAGAAGTCTTCCTGCCTTTAAACCAATGATCCAAATTTTAGGGCTCTTTTTAGGGGAAATAATCATAGAAACTAAGTTTTACATTCCAGGATGTTATTTCCAACACTACTGATACTAGTTTGAAAAGGAAGGGAAAAAGTAGGGATTTGAGGGCTGGAGATTTACCTTAGTGGTGCCGCCACCTGCCTCACAAATGCAAGGCCCTGAGTTCAATCCCCAGTACAAAAAAAAAAAAAAAAAAAAAAAAAAAAAGTAGGGATTTGAAGTGCT